GTACGGCCCACGATGATGATGACATATAAGTAGACCAGACAGGCGTTGCCAATTAGCCCGGTAAGTACAAGCTCCATCAGCCTTTCAAACGTTGCTGGAGCATTGCACAATTCAAATGGCATTACTTTAAATTGCCATTGACCATTTTCCGTCGAGAACGCAGTTCTCTCCTTGTCTTTAGGGTCAATTTCAACTTGTCAGTAGCCATTTTTTTAGATCGAGCGTGCTAAACCACTTTACTCCTGTAAGCATGTCTAGCGTGTCATCAATTCTTGGAAAGGGATAGCTGTTCTTCTTTGTAACGTCGTTCAGACGGCGGTAGTCAGCACAGAACCGCATGCTGTCGTCCTTCTTCTTTACCAGCACCACGGGTGAACACCATGGACTAGATGAAGGTTCAATAACACCATCCTTCACCATTCCCTCAATCGTGGTTTCCACTTCCTTTTCACGTGCTACCGGCAATCTTCTTGGCCGCTGACGGATAGACAATTCTTCTCCTGCATTTATTTTGTGTTGAACCAAGCCAGTCTTTCCTATGTCAGTTTCATTTGATGAGAATACATCGGCATACTTGAGTAACTACTTCTTCGCCTTGACCATTTCGTTCGGGGAGAAAACGCTGCGACAGTCTTCAGTGTGGTCACTCTCGTTTGTGCATCCTTCCTGGGGGTCCCACTCGATAGATATTGGCACCGACGTAACCAATCCACTTCCTTACAAGTACCAACCAATGTGCCTTTTTTTATAATCTGTTCATGGTCACAAAGGTTCAGCACACGTACTCCTGCAATGTCAGTGGTTCTGACCAAGGTTCGAGCTACTTTCCATGGAAGGTCATTATTTACCCTTTCCACAAGTACACAACAGTGAGCTTGCCCAGCGTTTAGACTTTTTTTATAGAATAGGGTGACAAACAAGCACACAGTCCACCTGATGGTAAGTGGTTGCTGCGGCCCATAGACATCTACATATATCCTCCATTAAAAATCAAAATGCAGATGCGTTGTTACCCGTGAGGACTGAGATGGAATGCCTCGTTTCTAGTAAAAAGGGTCTCCGGTTCTCTACACTCACCATACGAAATACAGCAGCATTAAGCTACTATTTCACGCTGGTATTCTGTGAGAGCGTGGTCCTTCCCCGGTCGAGCCGACCCATTCGTGCTACAACAATACTACGAATGAAGACTAACCGGCACAATCGTTTCGGATCTTGGCGGAAGAACAATCTTCTTAATGCTGTTCGTGTTGCCCGGTAACGCACCTTCCATAAAAAGTTCCTCCTGCCCACATCTCAAAACACCTTGCTTAACGTCGATCTCACAACAATTATTCCACATAAAGCCTAGGCCCAGAATGCAATCGTCCATTACATCAGCCACGATGACATTATGCAGGTAGATCATGTTGCCTAGCTTCAACTCCATCTCTTTCTCTCCACGGACGGGTATACGCTGACTGGTGGCTGTTACCAAATTAATGCGTTCTCGGATGTATGCGGAGTTCCCAAGGACGATTGACTTATAAGTTAGGAACTAACAACCGTACGAGAGGCTCCAGTATCTATGATCAGTTTACACGGCATTCCGTTGACCTCGACCTTAATGATTAAACTGTTCCCATCATGGGTTTGTGAGATCGAATTTAACATCAGCCAGCACCCGCCCGCAGTTCTGGCTTTTACTGGTTTCCCTGCTGCTGCTGGGCGGGGCTGTTGGCCGCACTACCCTCCTGAGATCATTCATCTTCCCTTTCTAGGGTTCGCTTAGGGCAGCTGGATCGTAAGTGGCCCCTTTCCCCACAGCCATAGGCACCTAGGGCTGTGTCCTTTATTGCGGTCGCGAACTGTAGCTGCTGCAACCTCCCTGACTCGATGGAAACGATGATCCTGCCGCACGGCTTCCACCTCCAGTGCATGGGCCAAGGCGTCCTTAAGTGTCTCGTGGTGTCCGAGCCTCACAGCAGCTCTGACTTCAAGGTTGCGGATGCCATCGATGAATGTCTGCATCAGGTTCCCTTCAATGAGCGCAGGTACGGACCGGTCAGCTTCTCCACCTCTAGAGCCCACTGCTGCAGGTTTTCGTTGATGCGCTGCACGCGATCTAAAGATCTTAAAAGAAGCTTAAAAGCTGCGCACGAAAGACGTGTTCCAGGTTAGCATCGCCATATCTCGCCTCCAATGCCTCAAGGAGCTGCTCATAAGTCACTTCCTCATCGAGAGCTTTCAGAACTGTTAAGGCCTGGTCACGCAGGCCTAGTGTGAGAGCAGTCATGGCCTGACTTTTATTCCAGCCGTTCGCCTTCATAACAGCTTCGAACTGGATTTTGTAGGCCGACCAGGAAGAAGTCCCGTCGAACGGTGGCACCTTGAACCCACGTAGCGAAGGTGTTGTAGCTACTACGGGAGCTGTAATTCCATCCCCCAGTTTGAGGTCGTCCAGCGTTTTCTTCACGTCAGCCATCACGAAATCAACCCGATTGTTCACTTGGTCGATTTGGGTTTTAGCTTCCTTGATTTGGGTTTCAGCTTCCGACAGGCGGTTGTCATGTTGAGCAACCCATGCTTTACCTCCCTTATGTCTTTCCCGAAGTTAGCGTGAATGTCCTTCACGAGGAGCATCCGCTCTTCCTGTCGGTGGACCTGTTCCTCCTGCTGCTCTTTCAACCAACGGGCCTGTTCCTCTTGTCCGCCCCGCAGCTGCCCTTCCAAAGGACTGACCTGTTCCTCCTGTCGGCGAGCCTGTTCCTCCTGCTGCTCTTCAACCAACGGGCCTGCTCCTCCTGTCAGCGAGCCTGCTCCTGCAGCATCACCATCAGAGCACCTAAGTTAGATGCTGCAGATGTAGGAGCTACTGACGGGCCTGCAGCCGGCGGCTGCCCATCCGACGTCTGCGGCGTTGCACCACCAAATCTTCTTTGGTCCGTCTCCTGCTGGCGTTGACTTCAGGTACGGACACCCTCCGTTTCCTCCTTAGGTAAAATCGGCATGATTTTATCCCACTTCTGACACCAATTGTTACGAGCTTAGGGTTCGTGACCATAAAAGCTGCCAATTGAATTACCAAAATTAACACTTTAATTCACTTTACACTAATTAAACCTACAAGACACTAATAATTAATCACACTATATTTCGCTCCGAAGCTTCGCTGGTCTCGCCAAATACTGCCCCGATCACGTATTGCAGCGCTTTTAAATACACCTTTTTCCCCGAAACATCTAGAATATTCAAGTAAATACGCGCGCCAACCGACCAGGCAACGAAAGTTTTAGTGTGGGGCTTCTAGAAAACTTAGTTCTTCAATTCTTTACTAGATGGCGCTGTTGGTTGAAAGATTATTCATGTCATTTTCTGGAAAGCTCTCCTCGCTCTCGAAATAAACATACACTTGTATTGAGAACCTGCTCAGATAATGATGTTCTACTACTCTACTAAATACAGTACCAGTTAGTTTAGTTAGTACTAAATACAGGCCTCCCTCATTCTTTTTTTCGGAGAGTGTTATGAAACAATAAGTAGATCGCGCTGCTTCCGTGCGTGTTGGCAACTTCATGGTTTCGAAATATTTTTTTAATATTTCTGATAACGCAGGTTTCCTCATGATGGTTTCCTTCAGCGCCGAGCACGTAGTAAATCAGCACATAAAGTTGCAATTAACAATTTCATCAGTGTCAGTGAGGATCGATTCGAATTGATCGTGTACCTGCATTTTTACGTGGTAGAGCCGTGCCTCAGCTGTATACCAAAGTAAAATAGCAGCTCAATACTGCTGTGTTACGTATGGTGAGTGCAGAAATCAGAGACCCTTTTACTAGAAACGAGGCTTTCCGTCTTAGTCCTCAGGGATGACAACGCATCTACATTTTGATACTTAATTGAGGATAAATCTAGATGTCTATGGGCCACAGCGTCCACTTACCATCAGATGAACTCTGTGCTCGTTTATCTACCTTATTCTATTTAAAAAAATCTATATTAGTCTGTATTTCAAATCGTTTTAAACACATAAGACAATCAAAGTAACTCATTAAAAAAAAACTGTAAGCGTAACGTAACAGCTGCTACGTCAACAGCGCTCATTGTTCGCTCCACGCACGTGAGTGTCGAAATTAACGCATGAAAAACTGGTGGGGCTCATAAAACTCAAAATATTCCTTCCAAAACTTAGTCATTGTTACAGTTGTGCCATTCGACCGTGTAAAATAGCAAGTGATAAAATAAGTGTAGAAGTTACCCGATAACCACTCGACAACCATAAGTGCTCAAGGTCGGCTTTTTATTTATTTTGATTGAAGATTTTACAATAAGGGTGACAAACGGACATACATTTTCCCTGATAAGAAGCAGATGATGTGGCCCATAAACATCTACATCTATCCATAATTACGTTGGCATCCCTGAGACGAAACACAATAGTATTCATTTGCCGTCAAATTCCATACTTTGCATTTTCTGTTTATAGAAACAGACTCTTGTTTGAACATGAGAATTATATTAAACAAATTTTTATAATAAGTTATAATAAGGCGAATAATTTTGTTTACTCAAAAGTAATAATAAATTTTCATTTAATAATTTTTTATGAAAACTTAATTTTTATACTTGGTAGAGCTACGCTGCAGCTATAATATTATGATTGTAACACCAATGTGTCGACTCGATGGGGGTAGGACCATACTCTTACTGAACACCAGCGTCAAATAGCAGCTAAATGCTGCTGTGTTTCGTACGCTGAGTGTAGAGAACCGGATACTCTTTTTATTGGAAATGAGGCATTCCTTCTTAATCCTCAGAGGTTACAGCGCATCTGCGTTTTGATTTTTAATAGAGGATAAATGTAGATGTTTATGGACCACGGCATCCACTTACCATCAGATGGACTGTGTGCTCGTAGGATAGTACTAAATTTAGAATCGATAGTTATTTGTTCAGTTTATGCATGAGTAATTCCGAGTACAATTTTTTTTAATTCACTATCTTTACGTATAACAGACAAGATGACATCGGAACAAACTACGGAAATGTGGGACGAACTGCCTGATCGAATCGCGGAGACCTTTACAGACCAGACAGTTTTCATAACAGGAGGGACCGGCTTCGTGGGAAAGGTCCTGATTGAAAAGCTTTTGAGGTATTTTTGTTGGACATCGTTTATTATATCGTATATCTTATATTACTATGTGACAGGGACTTCTCTTCTCTCTAAGAGTCCGTCAGTGTAGGCACACCGCTGTGTTGCAGTACTAAGAATCAGCATCCGCATATGAGGAGCGCCAGCCTGCTCCTGGCGGTCCATACTTGACAGAGGACAACTCTTCCCCCTATTCTCCTCCTCGAGCAAGGCTCGCCGTAACACAAGGAGTGCTTTTCTATACGACTACTATCTCACAATATACACACAATATTTATTCGGCCAGTATATTTACGAAAATTTAATGTTGTTCACGAAAACAAAAATACTTTTGTTAAAAAAGTGATGTAAATACTAGTAACAGGCACAAGTTAGTTATATCAGGTACTCGACTCCAAAGTGTCTGTAATTCCTTCATGGAGCATTGTATACGCTTTTACAACTAAATCCCAGAAAATATGCAGGATCTATCAATCAATAAGTTTAAAAATTTTATGGAACAAAAATGGTTTAATAAGGGTTATTAATTATTATACTACTAAAAATTACATGATTGATAATAATCCCTACAAATGGCATGATCGCTAGCATACTGTTTCTTAATGTTTTCAAACTTAATCGTGTAAAATATATGTTATATTTTAAATTAATGTTTAAAAATAGTCCCGTTGGGTTTCTTGCTGGTTCTTCTCGTCAAGCGAGACAGCTATGGCTAATAACTCCCCTTTGTGGCAGTGTAAGTAGAAATAGAAACTTTTTTTATACAATATAGGTTATTTAAAATAAATATTACTTTTTGAAAGTCACTTTTATGTTCAATTTATCAATGGTTCGAAAAATACGTCTGTCCTAGGAAAAACCAGCCAGAAACCAAGCGGTACTTATCTTTGGAAAGAAAAGGAACAGTCTACAATCATATTCCAATCATAAAACTACGCAGCAATTAACAAAACAAAACAAATTTGAAATAGTTTAGAAACGGTTACATTATTCTCTAATACAATCATCCTTAGATTCCTTAATATCATTTATTATCTTTGTTTAAAATAGTTTTTACACTTGGAAGTCAGATTTTGTATATTTTCTGGAATTTTGTTGTTTTTTTTATAGAATAAGGGTGGCAACACACAGTCCACCTGATGGTAAGTAGATGCTGTGGCCCATCGAAATCTCAGTTCTCTTCTCACAATAATCTTCGATTAAAAATTAAAATGCAGATGCTTTGTCACCCCTGAGGACTAGGATGGAATGCCTCGATTCCAGTAAAAAGGGTCGCCAGTTTTCTACAGCGTGGCTCTGCGTTATACGTGGTAGAGCCATGCTGGAGTTATATTAATTGTACAGTTGTAGCACAAATGGGTCGGCTCCACCGGGGAAGGACCACGCTCTCACAGAATACGAGCGTAAAATAGCAGCCTTATGCTGAATGTAAATGTAATGTGTGTATGGTGAATGTAGAGAACCGGAGACCCTTTTCACTGGAAAAGAGGCATTTCATCTTAGCCCTCGCGGCTGACAATGCATCGGCATTTTGATTCGCAAACGAGGATAGATGTAGATGTCTATGGGCCACGCCATCCACTTACCATCATGTGGATTATGCGCTCGCTTGTCAACCCTTATCCTATAAAAGAAAATCTACCACGTAAAGAACGGCTATAGAAGCGTATATCGTACATCGATTTAGTAGTGGACTATTGATAAAATACCTAGTCTTTAAGTCGAATTATAATGGTAGCATAATAATATTTATCATTTTTACCTTTGAGAGTTTCGATTTCAATCCGCCTAAGGAATATTTTCTTCATTAAAAGGTATATTAATTCCCGAAACGAAAAGCGGCAATAATATCATAGGTGTATGTTAAGGCGTCCTCTAATATGCCTATTATACGAGGCGATTATACAGACAGTTACTTACTAATGAGAATGGGATTGCTTCGTGGGTCTAGTGTATACTGTCGTCGGTCGGCACTCGGTCGTCGACGATTCAAGCCATTCTGCGCTGGATGCGGTCAAGTAGAAAGAGCTGGCACTGGGTAGCCCCATACCAGAGATGGGAACAGTATTTCATGTGCGGCCGAACCTGCGCCTTATAAAGTTGCAGGCGGTGTGCCGGCATGAAATACTGTCCCGCACTGCTGAGCACGCCAAGCTTTTTAGAGACCAATTTGGCCTTCTCTTCTAAGTGACCACGAAACTGCACGTCACTCGATATGTCGACGATGGGGATTCCAATACTGGCTGAGGCAAAAAGGGGATGCCTTGAAACTGAGGAGATACGACAAAGGGGTTCTTTTTAGCGGCTAACGTGCAAACTTGTGTCTTCTGAGAGTTAAACTAGACTAGATTTAGTCGCCCCCAATCCGAGGCTATGTTCAGTAAAGACTCAACTTAAGACACTAGTTTGTCCTGGTAGTCGGAGACGTTCTTCCGAGAAATATTAGCACAGGCGGTGTACAGAGCATCGCCAGTGCTGTCATCTGCATAGCAATGAATGTTACCGGTTCGCAACATATCATTGATATGCAGAAGAAACGGCGTTGGTGATAGCAGGCAGCCTTGTGGAACACCAGCATTAATAGGGTTGTAATCGGAGCTTGCTCACAGTTTCGCCAGCGTGACATGACTAAATGTTACTTTTGCATCTCTGAAAAGTTACATTTTTTAAATTAAAAGTTATTTAGTAACAATGTTTTAGAATCATCGCCGCTGAGTTATTAAATAACAACCAGCTCAATATTTTTAAATAATATATTTACTGCGTCTATACGTGGTTGAGCCACGCTGCAGCTATATTATGGTGGTAACATGTATGGGTCGGTTCGACCGGGGCAATACCACACTCTCATAGAATACCAGCGTAAAGTAGCAGCTTAATACTATTGTGTTTCGTATTGTGAGTGTAAAGTACCGGAGACCCTTTTTACTGGAAAGAAGGCATTCCATGTCATGAATCTACATGGTAACAACGCATCTGCGTTTTGATTCTTAAATCGAGGACAAATGTAGATGTCTATGGGCCACAGCATCCACTTACCGTCAGTTGGACTGTGTGCTCGTTTGTCACCCTTATTCTATAAAAAAGATATAAAATCCAAACCACCAGTCTATACGATTAGTTCTTGTTTTCACTTTTGATCATTAAACATTCCACAAATATGTGTTTCATTTTTAAACCATAAAAATTTAAGGGCACCCCGCTCTGACGGAAAAATAAATAACCACGTTATTGTAAGTGCGACCTTTGGGTGGTAGATGATCGTATGGTTCAGTTATTGGGTTTATTTACTGTGTAGTGGCAGTTTAAGAATATCCACTATCCCATATCATCCTGTGGGTGTCGTTGAAGGCGACAGAGGGAAACAGATCAGGAGATGGGCAGCAGTGTCTTCTTAATGACGACTAAAAATAAAAAAACCGCATTTTGCAATCCACTTGTCAAGCGTGGCAATTATGGCAAATATCCCCCCTTTGAGGCAATCTATGGGGGAGGTCTATTTTCAGCTGTGGACTTTAACGTAACGATAACGGGTTTTGCTGTCTGTTAAGAAATTCGCAAGAGGATCGTGGACTTGATAAGTTGTTGGTGTTTTACCCTCATGTCTCAGAAATCACGTAAAGCCGTCGGTCCTGCAACTGATATCACTCCGGTGGCGGCGGATAGCCATCCCAACAGTCGAATGAAAAATGAGAGCGAAGGAATAGAGACTGCACGTGTGCTTGCGAACAGAGAACGTAGTACACGTGGCAACATAATCCTGTTCTGTGGCAGCCTCCGTCGAGACTGGCCGATGTGACCGAAATTTGGTCGGGAAGAGGACATAAGGAGATGAGGGATGGGGAGTGAACGCGTAAGTGCAAGGCCACCCACTCGCCGTGAACCATATGTCAGGTAAATACCATAGATGTATTTTTGGGACTTGGGGACAATAACCATACATCCAGATCCGAAATCCAACAACTTAGAACCATTAACCAGAACTGTCGTTAAGCGTTACAGCATATTAAAGTCGACTGCTGAACAAAGTCCTGCCCCATCGATTGTCTCACATGGGGGATATTTGCCGTAGTTGCCACGTTTGGAAAGAGGGTTGCCAACCGTAGGTTATTTAATTTTAGTCCATCTCCTGATGTGTGTACCTCTCTCGCCTCCTATCTACTACATTTTTGGGACGATAGGGGGTAGTAGATATTCTTACACCGCCTCTAAACGGAACCAGAACTATTGACGGTGACCTAGAACCACTGACCAAGATTTATTTTAGCAGTACTTGTGCAAACACAATACAATACTGTTTCAAGGCCAATTCTATATGAGTTCTGAAACTCGAAAACTGGACCACACATTGATAGAAAGAATCTTGAAGTTTTCGCAGATGTTATAAAACTCAATTTAATGTTACATAAGATTTTATTTCGGTAAAATTTGTTACGTCAGCGCGGTTGGGTAACTTTCGGAGATATCACAAATTGCACGCTATTGTAATTAGCAACTGTGCAATTTTTGATGGTAATTAATGTCAATGTTTGCATATTTATTCTTAGTTACGGTTGTAGATTCAGAACGTTATAAACCAAGCGAAAATTAATTACCCAACATCCAGAATAGCTGCGCAGGACAGTATTATAATGTCAAGTGTAAGCGCAAGCACAGGTGCACTCTTATTCCCTCACGTTCCTACTCCGCTGGGACGGTAATCTGCTCGAGCGGAGAGAGATCAGGTGCAGAGACAACGGCTTTACGCACGGAGACACGTGGATAAAACACCGCCAACTTTCTGTCACCGGGTTGCTACTAAGAATTTGTTGTCAGAAAACCCAATAACTAATTTTGACCTGACCCAGGATTCTGACCCGGAACCTCTTTTTTTTGTGCGAGCAGCTATGCAGGTTTAGGAAAAGAGACCAGTATCACTGCGACCTAAAAGATCTATCGTGATCGCTGCTATGGCTATAGTTCATTGCCTATGTCTTCAATGAATAGGAATTGCTTAGCTG